TAATTTGTCTCACGAACAAATGTTTTAAAAAGGAAGTAACCGCAAAATGAATTGGAAATGATCTTCATCAAGGTTTTTACCACGAAAGGCGATTCAGTGCTAGAGTCAGCAGCGTTTGTTTACCACAAAAACTGATGAAAATAGGAGGAAAAATATTAATCCTTTATATTCTTCGTACAGAGAAAAGATATATCGCCACAAATATCGTATTCATAAGTAAGTAAATAGACATAAACGAAATAGGAAGTAACCAAGTAATTTGCGATAGGAAATGTTGATCCGGTTTGAAATTCCACCACGTTCGAATGGAGTTTTACCCCGTGTACATTGGAACGTGGATACGCGTTTCCTTTTCAATATCCACGGATCGTATCATTTTTTCACTCGAACAGAATCGGAATCATCTTGGAAAATTTTGAATGTAATTCGTCGTTGACTTATCTATTTGTTCTGTTTATGCATATTCCTTTTTAAGTAACGAACGTCAATTTATTTCATTTGGAAATTCTCATTTTTAGGAATCGGTGGGATAGGAGTAGATGTTATTACGCTATTGCCGTCTGGTTGACCGTTTAAAGAAATTCTAAGAAAATAAAACGAATATATTTTACGTACGTGGTCAAAATGAACGAAACGAAAGCGCTTAAATTCAAAATTATAACGTTTGCATTTTTTTTCCAGCTTGTACACAGCTTGTAAAGGGTAGATGTGTATACGTGTACAATGCGTATCGATACGAGGAGGGAAATCGACATTGTACGTTTTGCTAAAACATAGAAATGGAAGAAGAAACATAGAAATTTTCGTAGTTACGAAAAAATATTTGGTAACGTATCGACGATCGGGTTTTGGCGAGCTTGCCATTCCGTTCGAGCAAACGTCCCTTTCGCAGGAAACTGGTTCGTATTGTCGATTTTCACGCGTACCCCGTGTGACGTTTCGTTGTAATTCGAGTGCATTTTCGATATAACGTTGAGACCAAGTTTCTAAACAATTACATTAATTTTCGTATTCGAACGTACGGTGCGTTATTGGAGAAAGTTCGACGGTTTTTTCTCCCCTCATTTTGAGAACCTGTGGATCTTTATCATCTTTATCAATCACCTCATGTGGATCTTTAGAAAGGAAAAAGTATCGACAAAATTGTTGACAAAGTAATTTAATAATAACAATCATCTCTAGTCGATTAAATCATTGTTAAAAGTTCTCTTAATATAATCGACTTAAGGATCGTATAAGAGGAACTAAAAATCCTTGGGTTGATTTTTTAAAATCGACCATTAACATTTACGTTTTAAAGAGGTTGCGATATAATTTTCCTTGCGCCATCTTAATAACAATAAAATTTAATACGAACACGAAATTCAGATAAAACTTTCAAAAGCTGGAAACGAGTTCAGAAGTGCCATTAAATTAGTGGAAAATCCTCTTTCTACAAAAAAAAAAAAAAGAACAATAAAAAAAAAATAGTTCCATGGAATGGTTAAAATGTTTGGAGCGTTTGCAAGCATTCCGTCGACAGAATCGTTAAAGGCATATTTTTCTGCGACGAACTGTAACACGTGGAAACGTGAAAAAAAATCATTTGTCGTCATTTCGGTGATAAAATAAAAATTTACGACTCTGTTTCGTATCAAAAATATTTCCAACGTTTTTTATTTATTTTTTTTAATTGGCAATCGCAAGGAGAGGGAAGCAACACGTAATCGAGAGCAATTGAGGGTGAGAATCGCGGAACAAACGGGGTTAATTACGTCGATATGGCGACGATAAAGGCGAGAACACACCATTGAACAATCGCGCAATGCGAACACGAGTGTGTGTGCGAGCATCGGCATTGACCCCCGTAATTTTTAATTGCGTGTCGTTATTACAACTCTTATCGTCGACACGTGCGAAAGAATCGTGCGAAAGTTGCACGGAAAAACGTTGAGAATACTGGAAATTTGTGTTTCTTTAACGTGGAAAATACGATTCGATGGATGATAGTAAGTGGATTGGGATCGAGTTCGAAAGAATTGACGTGCTACTTGGAGGCTATTAATGGAACTGTGAATCCTTTGACCGCGTGTGAAGGAATAAAATATCTTGAAATAAAGAAAAGAAATTTGTTTCCAATTCCATGAAAATATCGATGCCTTCGAAGCGAATGAATCAACATTGAATTGATTTCTATTAAATGAATAGAGATTGGAAAAAGGACCAATTTATCCTCACCAATAATAATAACTCTAATATCTATCCATCCAAATTTCACCTTCTTTTTTAAATCACTGGATCAATTTCCAATTCCCCCGATTATCGTTAACGCGTCTATGGATTATATTACTAGCCAATTAAATGTTAATTACATCTATAAGTAACAATATTATGCATAAAGTAACATAATTACATCGTTATTATCGTACGTTTATATATATATATATATAATTATCGCAAATATTAACCATCACGAGTATTGGTGAACATCGGTAAGCAGCAGGAGAGGGGGTTGGAAATTTTATCGTCCATCCATATATCGCGGATATATTCTGAATTATTATGCATTAAATGAAGATGAGAAAGTATCGCGCGGAACACCGGTTTGGCGGAAAACCGCCGGCCGGCTTGCATGGATCGTTGGTACAAGGGTCCTCTTTGTGTGCAACGTCGCGTGCCGTCACGGTGGCAAATTTCCGCGTTGACGTTGGCTGCCGCCGCGTCTGTTGTACGAGTTGTTTATATACGGGGCAATAATTTATTACTTGCCCTCGCCCACGACAAGCAAGGATCGTTAATATCATAGACGTCAGTACGATGGAAGACGGGGAATGCGGGGGGGAATTGTATCGCGTTTTAAAGAGAGGAGAGAGAGGAGGGACCCCTCGATTTTGGGTTTAATGGGTGTAATGATCATTTTCCTTTGCAATGTTTGAGATTTTTTTTTTTTTTTTTTTTCTGTAAGAAGGAAGATCGATTTTTGTGATGTTCGATCCCTCTTCTCGTCGAATGTTAAATTATACGATATATATGTCGAGTTACGAATTCGAGTTAATATATATCAAGTTTCACAATAAGGGGTTATAATTTAATATTCGATACTTCGCTGGATGGAATTGTGGAGTGGAATTCAAAGGCTACTGAATTTCACAACAAAGGGTTAAAGTACTCTCAACGTTCGATATTTCACTTGGGAATTGGGATGGAATTAAATTCAAAAGGTGAATTAATACCAAATTTCACAACAATGGGAACTCGATACTCTCGATATTCGTTAACCCCTCTCGTTGGAATTGGAGTGGAATTAAATTCAAAAAAAAAAAAAAAATTTCACAACGAAGCTTATACTCTCTATTAACTGTGAAAGAAAAAGTTCGCATTTCCATTCCTTCTTCTCGCCGCAAGTTCAACCGATACAGAGCGAAGGAAGGATTCGTTACGTTCTTGGTATCGATTCTCGCGGACCACCACGCGGGTAAAGTTAAATTTCTCAGAGGAGACGTCGAGAAAATGGCGGCGGGGGTGGGTTGGCACGGCGAAACCCTTTTTCTTTTTCTTTTCTTTTTTTTTTTTTCATCGAATAAAAGTTGACGCGGTTCAAGGTTCCGGCCGGCCGCGCCGCGATGTGGCATCATCCCATCCGGAAAAGTTGAAATTATAAAAATTTCAAATTTCCAAACGGGTGACAGACGACGTACAGAAGACGTACGATTCGGCCGCCTGGGATGGCCACTGTCGCGGTTTCCCTATCGAGCGTGTGAACTTCGCCCCAACTTCGAACTTGGAAAATTGGAAACCGTTGAAAAAAAAGAAAAAAAGGAAAAATTGTTTCCTCTTTGATGCCTGGTAGCGTCACCGAAAAATAACTTCCTTTCCTACGATCATTCGACGTTGGCTTGGTTACGTGCTCGTGCTCGTGGTTGCGGTCTTTTGAAAGGTTTTCGTGATTCTGTTCTTTTTTTCTCTCTTTTTTTTTTTTTTTTTTCGGTGAGAGAAGAAGATTTGGAAATCGTTTGAATTACCGAATATGGAGGAATGTAAGTAAAAATGCATGTATCGTTGCAAGATATAATATTTGTCGATTTAAATAATAATTGTATAATATTTGAATATTTTATTGTTATGTGGAAATTATGCGTTTTTGTAATCGTAAAGAATCGTATAAAAATTGGAAAAAGTTAACTTAATAGATTTAATTTATATTATAAATTGAAATAATTTTATTTCTCTATACGATTACTTTTGACTTGGTTTTATATACAAAAGTTGTGGTTCGAGTTGAAAACACACAATGTATAGAAATCCTATTCCTGGAATATATCGAATACAAAAACATAAATGTGAATAAATTGCGTATGTTTATATGATAAGAGTAAGAAATTCGAAGAATGACCGAAGCCGTATCGAAATATAAACAAAGTCGAAACGAGCAGAGGTGAAAGTACGACGAAATAAATTTAGTCGACACGTGGCCGTCGAACGATACGAACGTGTATATCGATTTCTCTCCTTTCTAATAAATTTATTTTCGTCCAATATAATTAAATTTTTGCGATCTTGCAATAAATAAACAAGTAAGTTGAACTTAAATTATCCCTTTCTAATATTCTCTTTTTCTTTTTCTTCTCTTTTCCTTTTTTTTTTTTTTTTGTCTATTTTTAAAAGTTAACACAAATGTCGCATTATTCGATAATTTAAATTCTAACTTTTTCCCCGACTAAAATAATTTGAAATATTTTAAATTGGAATTTTTATAAATTTTTAATTAAACACAAACGAAACGTGATTCCATCCCGCGCACCTTTTTCGTGAAATTTTATAACAGAACGATTTGTAAAAATTTCTCGAATAACAGAAGATATTTGATAAAATAACACACGGATTGCGTCCAATCTTGAAACTAAAACACAACCTCGATTCGAAAGAGAATTATTTTGAAAATTAATACGCCATTTATAAGAAATCGATCGACCGATAAACAAATTAATCGTCATATCGTGTTTTTTACGTTTTGCTTACAGGACCTGCGTTTTGGGGACTGATAAACCCCCAATGGTCTTTGTGCAGCAAAGGAAGGAGACAGAGCCCTATCAACATCGAGCCTGACAAGCTTCTCTTCGACCGCCACTTGAGACCCGTGTTGGTCGACAAACACAAGGTAATTTATCCACCCTGTTCCTTCCCCTTTCTTCCCCTTTTTTCTCCCACTCTCCTCTTTTTTTTTTTTCTTTTTCTTTTAACTCTCGTTGCGGTACTTTAACTACTGAAACGATCCAGAACCGCATTCAGAAGTAAAGAAGGATTCGACTTGAAATGACTCGAAAGTTTTGATTCTCGCGGCTTTGTTTCAACAAAGATCCTTTAAAATACCTTAGTTTGTTCGCTACTAGCGCTTTTAAATTTATTTTAACGTAATTTCCTTTATTCTTTCAATAATTTTAATATTTGAAAAATTTCGAACGAAATAAAGACGAATCGAATAAGAGACGACGGATAGATAGGTAAATAAATGTAGTTATTTTTTTACCGTGTATTTTATTTTCTTAAATAATTATCCCGCGACATATATTTTTCGAAATTATATGTCCAACATAACCAACAATTTTTAAACGAATCGAAGCGAGGGAAAATAAAATTTATATCGATTAAAAAGAAAGACGGGGGAAGATTTCAGGGGTGAAAACGAAAAATAAAACGCGGACACTTTCGATTGGTTGGAATCGGTTGGTTCGAAGCGAAAATTAACATTTTTTCGGATGATTTATTTTACTTAGATATATCGGGTATCGCGGTGAGACGGTTGCACGCGAGTAGGTGCGCTATTCCCAGGGCTGTCGCCGGCTAGTAATGGATTTTGAATTCACTCTGGACCGTTCTCCACTTTCTCTCTATCCATTTTTCACCGAGAGAAAAGAGAAATAGGGAAAGAGAGAATTCGTTAGTTCGATGATAAATCCATTAATTATATATCTCCCTGTTTAACATTCTTCTTATTCGTGTACCCCCATACATATCTCGTGAGTAAGCGTGGATACAAATAATCTTTCTTCGCATAATTTTCGAACATCAAAAACTTAAAATATTTTTTTTTCTTTTCTTTTCTTTTAAACGTAGAGTAGAGTTTCTTTGCAAAATATTGAGAAAATTATATCGGTTCCATCAGGGTACAAGGATACGAATTTCTCTTAAATCGTATCTTGTTGCACAATTTATTAATCGCAATCCAAGTCTAGATTCATCGAGGATCGTTCGTTTCAATTTTCTTGATCGATAAAATAATCACGTATATTACGAAGTTCACTGAGAAATATCGTTTTCGGTAAAATAAAATAATCACAAATCGAACAAAGAAGTAGGGGTGAGCAAATAGTACAGCTCGATCACAATTTGTAACACGTTTTTTCGAAATAATAATAGTTCTTCTAGATTAATCGCGATTAATTTCGTGATTGATCAAGTTACTTGAAATTTTCTATACCGCAATTTAAATCAATATTTATAGATTAATCCTTCGATTAATCTTAACTCTTTCCACGCACGAATAACGGGGGAGGGGAGAAAGGAAGGAAAAGAAAAAATATACGAGTCTCTCGGTTTCACCGATCATTCGTTTCCCTCCCTCTCTTTCGTCGGTCTTGTTTTATCGAGCGTGTGTGGATCTCGCCCGTGGAAATTAACGCGGCGCCCGATTTACGCGGGCCTCCATTTCCCTCCTCCCCTCCCCTCCCCTCCCCTCGTGCGATTGATGCGTCTCGCCGCCTCGTGACGAGCCACGAATAAATATTGTAAATCTCGTCGATGCGACTTGCGAACAACGCAGTTTGATTAATCATCGAACTGTTAATTAATCGGCAGTCAGGCCTGGCTCGAAGGGATGTGCGATTTTATCTTTTTTCCTTCTTCTTCTTTTTTTTTTTCTCTCTCTCGAAATATTTTCATATTCGTGGAAGAGTTAAATAAAAGAATGTATACGTGTATATATGGGAAAGGAAAAGGGAATAGATTCGCTTTGCCCAGGTCTTTGAATATTCATTCGAAGGAGGAGATTGAAATTCTACTTTTCAAACGCAAGGATAGAATTCGCTTGGAAATTTTCTAAGTAGGCGGGTGTCTTTGAAAATTTCGTCTCGCACTCTTTTTGGAATTCGAAGAATTTATTTTTTAACGATTCGATAATAATTTTTTTTTTTTCTTTTCAAAAGATTAAAAAATCTTGAATTTTGAATTCTTCCTAATCCATTCTTTCTAGAGAGATATTTTTAAGAGAGTCAGATTTGAATTGTAACTTCTGCCTATATAGACATTAGTGCGATTGAACGTGCATCTTAACTTAATTAATTCCAATAATCATTAATTATTAATTATTCATTAATAAAGGGAAATAGTATAATTATTGCGAGTGAAATTTATAATTCTTCCTATCCATCTCACACGTCGTCGTGATAAACTTCGAGGTTAATCCTCGGAGGAATCGTAATTCGAAATAAAAACGTATCCATCGAGGGAAGGTGGAGTTTTCTTCATTGTTATTATTTCTCTTCCTCTTTCTCTTTCGTCTTCTTCTTCTTCTTCTTCTTCTATTTCTATATCGATCGATTAATGTTCTTTTCGTGGAACAAGCTTATTCCAACGTTGCATACACGCGTCTCGTCTCGGATGCGTGGCTTTATCGCGTATTCGCGTGACGTAACGCGACACGAGAATTTCTACGTCTACTCGAAAGTGCAGTTGCGGAAATTGTTTTATGGAAATCGAGGGCCGCTTGTAACCGCTTGTGGAATAAACGTCGATACAGTTCGACAACAGCTCGAGAATATTTAGGAGGGACTGACGTGCGCCATTACCGATTTCCCCGATGAAAGGGCCGAATGAAAGAAAATCTGTTGGAGAAAATAGAGAATTCTCCAAAAGAGAGAGAGAGAGGGATTTCCTTACGATCGAGAATAACATTTTTTTTTTATTGACAAATTCGTAATTCAATCGAGAAAATTTCACTGATAAAACCGTACGTTGTAACATCTTTACAATTCAATCCTTTGTGGACAAATTTCACCATTTCAGCGGCTTTATTATCGAATTTTCACGAGAGATATTCTTCTTTATCCCTGATTTTTAGATTTAGATTTTTTAAACGTAATCTCGTTCCATAAATAACATCGACCATTTTTCATTGACGTGCAAAGGAAATCGCGGCGTAGTGGGGGAGGTCGAAGACGACGGTTTCGCCTTCTCTTCTCTAAACACTTGTCTCGTAAGAAAAGAATAATAATCATCGTCGTCGTTGAAAAGTAACCAACGAAGGATATATCGATCGAAGGAATCGAAAAGAAAGGGGAATCTGAAGCAATAACGTCTCGTTGGGATTGATCCAGTCCGAGAGGAGGGAAGGCTATTTCTCGTTCTCGAAACAGACAGGGATACCCGTTCAAGTTGGAATCGGGGCTTCTGCTCACGTGTCTGCAATCATCGGTGTCAGCTGAGACGGCCACGTGATTCGTTTCTATCGTATTCGAGTTAGCAGCACGTTTCGCGTACGAAAAGGAAACGAAAAGGTTTCGCCTTTGAGGGATTCCTCCCCTCCTACTTTCGTCTGAAAATCGGACAAAGCACACGCGTGGCCGGTGTTTCGCGGTTTAGAGAAGAAAAGACGAAACGTCGTCTTCCCTCCCCCACTGCGCCGCGATTTCCTTTCCGCGTCGATGAAAAATGGAAAAATCCTTTGTTTCGAATCTTATGAAAAATTCGCGCTCTCTTTCTCTTTCTTTGTAAAGGCAAATTGAAATTTCCTCGAAATTTGCGAATATCGCGAGGGGAAAAGTTGTATTCGGGCGCGTGTTTAGACGTGGTAACAGGTGAAGTTCGAATTTTTAGGTTGAGTTTTGTTGGCAATTTATGGTAATTGCGATACACAGTTTATCGTGGAATAGTTGTTTAATAATTGAAAAGCGTTGGGTCTTTAGTTGTTTGCTACTGTTCGATTTCGCGATTCTCTCGATCGAAGTTTGGTTAACGTTCCCAGCTTCGTTGTAATCAACGAAAAATCGATATTTTTCTTCGACGAGATCGCCGCGTGTACATATATATATATATATATATATATATATATATATATCGTATTACATACGAGGAGCCATTTACATGTTAATGCAAATTCGGTTTGATTTTATTTCCGCGTTCCGTTCGCCCGAAATTGTCGATCATAATTAAAAAATGCGAAATATATTTAATATCGTCTATGTTAATTGCTCTTGGTAATGTAACGGAGAGGCGTGTGTTTTAATATCGATAATGCGAATATTGAAACGTTGGATGATATTAAAAATTTGCGAGAATATTCCCGGGGGGGAGGGAAGGAAAAAATATTCCCTCCTAAATTCCATATTTTATTTTAAACCGAGAACGCTCCGTACATGATATCCGTTGAACACCGACTAAAAATACATTTTTTCGCAAGTAGATGTTATTTAAAAAAGTGATCTTACGATAAAAAGAAAAAAGAAAAAAAGAATAATCGTCGAAAGCAACGCTCGAGCTTTCTACCCTCGAATCAAATAGCCTATCCTCGGAGAATACTCAACGTTCGTTTCGCCTTGTTGTATTATTAGTAAATCAAGTTTCATGGCATGGAATCTTCAAAAAAAAAGAAAAAAGAAAAATTCCATATTTGTAGAAAATTTCTCGAGGAACAATTGTTTCATCGATTGTTTCATCATCGAGGGAAAAAGTAGTGCAAACTCTTTGTACGAATGAAGAATTCTAAGACGGAGGATTCGCAACACCGTGCACGATGATGGAGTGGGTGAGAAGAGGAAGGGGAAGGGAAGAAAGAAAGGAAAGAGGAAATAGAAACGACCCGTGGACCAGGTTCGACGAGTGTTGAAAGCTACTTCGCCAAGTGTTATTGTTTGATAAACTCAAAAATGGCGGCGCCTCTGGCTCGTTTGAAGTCTGGCACGGTTCCGCGAACTGGCCGGAACAATGAGGTGCCACGCAAAAAAGGAAACCAACCAAGTCGTTTAATCATCGAGCCGTCTCGCTGTTATTTTTATTGGCTGCTGCTCCCTGTTTATGTAAGAAAACTTTTTTCCTTCCTCTTTTATTTTTCGTTCTCCTTTCGCGCCTGTTTCGTGGCCCCTCACGTTTATTTTCTTCAACTGA